GTTCTTGCGCCAAGTTTTTAGTCCCCTGATCTGAAGACTGTAAGTTCTTCATTATTGCCCTATCTTCCTCCATGATGAAGAAACCTATTATATCCTGCTTCCATATAATATTCCTTAATTCCAAAAGACATTTCTCTTATTCATTTTTATGAACATGTTCATTTCTTATGAAATGAACAAAAGCAATTTGTGATATAGGTTCAAATGATAGTTATTGGTCTATTGTGGTAATTCCATGGTGTAGCTTCACTAGGTCTACAGACCTATTCCAATTGGTCAAATCTTTTCAGTGGTGTCAAGTTACATGAAGAGTTTGAATTGAAGTAGTATTAGTATAATTAATATTTGTTGTTCTCTGCTTTGGCTGCATGGGTTCGCTGTAATATGTGCCTAGCTGTTCATATTATTTATAACTTTTTTATTTATTACAGATGAGCGTGAAGATGTCCAGAGGAAGTCCTTTGCCAAATGGATGAATATCCAGCTTATGAAGGTAGGTCTAAATGTAATTGAAAAAATAGACAAGATATTGTGGGAAATGCAATCCAATATTCTATTGGGTGAAGGTCAAGGGTCATGTCTAGTATCTGGAACTTGAAGGAATTGTGAGACAGCATTTCATAGAATTCCCTGGAATTTGATTGACCTTTCATAGAAAAAAATAATGCTAAATATTTTTTGCATTCACACTCAGATTCTGCTGTGTGCAAAGTTTTGACTTGGACTTGCTTTTTTGTGGATCACTCAACACAAAGTTCTTTATCTCAGAAACTGTATTAGATTCATGCTCAATTTTTCTTTCCTGGGCTTGTAAAGATATTTATACAGGGTGTTTCAAAAGTCTGTACTCATGGGTATTTTGAATTAATTAAAATGTCTCAGTGTATGAGTGCACCAAAATTAGTACAGAAGTACTAAGGAATATTCGGAGGGGGTTATGTGCCAGGATTGATATGTGTATGCAAGTTCATGGCATGCAATTTGAACATTTTATGAAAACATAAGGTAAATTAGGAAATCTGCCTATGAGTCCGGACTTTTGAAACACCCTGTAGCTTTACTTCTTTAAATTTTATCATCACATCATAGCACACCCTTTTCTAAAGGTCCATGACCTTTAATTAGTCTGCTTGAAGAAAAAGTACTTTTGAAGAGAGACACCAATTTATTTATTTTTTTTGGGATGGGGGGGGGGGGGAGTTTGTTTTTCCTAAGTACTGGATTAGTGTTCAAATGAAATCATGTTGAAAGTCATCATACTCTTACTGGTTGGAGGCAATAAAATATGTCATCATGCTTTGTTCATCCTGTATTCTTGAAGCAGACATTCTTGTAGAAGCTTCTGCTGCTGTACTTAATTAATTACAGGATCTCTTAAAAAATACTATGAATTGATTGCACATCACTATGAGTGATTGCAATGAGTTATTTATTTTTTTCACTCAACTTGTCTGTATGAATGAATTGACAGGAGAGAATATGAATTGTGGGGAACTGTATACTTGGTGTGGATTGAAATTTTAAGGATGAGTATAGGCCTTTGGAAACCATGAAGTCAAATTCTACTCTTTATCCTTCCACTTTTTTTGTCTTAGATCTCATATCATACTCCTAAGACTGAAATCCTCATTATGTGGTGCAGCAACTACTCCTCATGATCTAGCAGGGTAAATCTTTTCAGCTCATCAATCTTCAAGTGGAGTAAAGTTCTCTAAACATGTTTAACAAATGTTTTGACATAAGGATGGGATGGGTTTGACTTTCTTATGCTTGGACATAGCCATGAAACTATGAAAGTCTGGTACTCTCGAAGGTTAGTTTTAAATACAACAGTTTCAAAATGAAAGAGAATTCACCTCAGTCATCCTTTTCAGCTCAAATGCCCAAACTAATATTAAGACTATGGTCTTCAAGGTCAAAGGTCATGGATATTGTTTAGACTAGGATGTGCTTTTTTCATGACAAAATTAAAGAATATACAGGAAATATAAAAATATCTTTAAGAACTTTGGAATGAGACATGAAACAGTTATCTAGCTTGAGTACAACATGAGATATTGATCAATTAGGGGTAAGTGAAGCATACAGAAACATGCTTGGGTCAGAATTTAGGTACCCTATATACTGGGAACCATGAGAATGAATGTAAAAATTTTTTGCATTAATATGTTTTCTTTCTATGGATCAAAAAACCATGTGAAATGTAGAGCAAATCCATGAGATGTCTCCCAGTCTCTCAGACACTTGAGGCAGAAAAACCCTATTACCATAGGCATGTGTGCTGAGACTTTTAAAGTTTATTGGTTGAAGAATTCGATGAAAATGAGCTTTTGGTTTATCAGGGTGGCCATCCCTTGGTGACAGATCTTTACCAAGACTTGAGAGATGGAACTCGTCTTCTTGCCCTGCTTGAAGTTCTCACTGGACAGTTATTCAAACGAGAGAAGGGACGCATGAGAGTGCATCACATCAACAATGTCAATCGGGCCCTGGAAATCTTGGAAAACAATCATGTGAGACTCTATTAACCCCTTCTGTAGATCTTTTTCCTCAGAATAGGTGAAAATTGTTGTATGTAACCTACAGGTGAGGCTTGTGAACATCAGTACAAACTGCATTGTGGATGGAAACCCCAAACTCACTCTAGGACTACTCTGGAGCATAATCTGGCATTGGCAAATGAAAGATGCCCTCAAAGACTTGAATTCAGGGAGTTCACATCTGAATCAAAGCCATCTGGAGAAAGCATTACTTGCTTGGTGTCGCTATGCTACTCAGGTTGGCCTTTGGCCTTGTTCTATTTTTATTTCACTCAGACTAATCTATCTATATTCAGGCCTCAATCACATTAACCCCTGAACTGTGTAAGGTGTAATATTATGCCACAATCTGTACTGAAGAATAGTGAAATATGGTGGTGAAAATAGGGTGGTGAAAATAGCACAGTTAAGGGGTTAAAGCTGGTAGCTATTTTGGTACCTGGCTTGAAAATCAGGTCACTAATATCTAGGACTTGGTGGCCAGCCTCTTTTTAATTGAAAACATTTGAATTACATTCAATGGATTCTTTGATTTTATTAATATAAGGTGAAGACACTGTTATCTGTACCCAGGGCTTGCTCTGGAAGCTTGAGTTTCTTTTCTTCACTTTTTAGTCCAAGGTTCATACTTAATGTTAGGGTCATCTTAGGCCAGTCACGACTATGCAAGCATGTTTGATCACCTCAACCCATCTTGGACTACGCACAAACTTATTTTCCTCCACAAAAATTGCAAAGCCTTCAACTTTGCTGTTGAATATGCATTTAGGTTGTTTTTTGCAGATCCTCTGTCATATGATAGTGATAATATTTTGTTGTCCTTGGATTCAGGTTGCCATTGTTGGGTTACATTTTGCTTCTGTTTGTCAGTTCAGGCATAGGCTTGATTCAGGTTTCCTCTGGTTATTGCAGGTGGGGGCCATCAGATTCATAATTGCTCTGATTGAGAGCCATTGGATACTAGCACATTTTCTACTCCTGGGCTGAGCCACATGTTTTTTTGCATGAGGACAGCTAGGAGCTATGAAGATAGGACCATAAAAATGTTTGGATGTCATGTTGAATGGCACCTTGCTTTGGTTCTCTGATGCATGATGTAATCAGCCATGTTAAAATGGTATCTCACAGTTGTTCAGTATACTGATCTGATGTGAAGCTGACAAACCCATCCCATTAGGCCTGCACCACATCTAAAGGTAGCCAAGTAAATTACAGAGAAAGCCTAAATGATAAGAAATTTGTATTATTGAGATTGGAATCTTTTTAACATCACTATGACAGGGGGCACACAAAATTCAGCACTGGCAGGGTGTCCTGCTATTTAAAACTTTGGAATTGAAAGATTGAGGAGCTTTAATCACGCCTAAAGTTCAATTCTCACAAGGGAAAAAAAAAATTTTTGCTCATCCACAAAGGCCACCTTGGAGTGACGTTGAGTTTGAGCTGAACTGAAAGTCTGGTCTCCACATTGGTGATCTTATATGCGTTTGTTAGTCACTGTATGGAAAATCTTTGTGATATTTATTGACCTAGGGGCCAGATTTTGCAAGCCCTGTGTACTGGTTCAATTTCATTCCTTTATTCTCTTGAGAAATCTAGAATCCATGTGGCCACCATTGCTGTGACCTAGTGAAAACCTATGGACAATAAACATGTTAAGAATATAAGATATAGCTAGAAAGTGATATACGTACCCACAATCCTATGTAATTCTTTGAAGGTACAATCTCCAAAATGCTATTGCTAAGAAAATACTGGGGCTGTACCTACTATGGCACTCTTAGGTCAATCTCAATTTTGGCAATTGGGGGGTGGGACCACCGAATTATTTAATCATTTTCACTTTGTTACTAACTTTTTCCACATCAGCTTGTGATATGTATGATACTAATTATCTGCATCCATTTAAAGAGCTTTCATGGCTCTGTGGTATGATGTCTATAGAATTTCTATGATGAAACAAAAAAGTTTTTCTTATATTTAAATGCTATTAATATATTCTTCCTATTAGGGTTATTCTGGAGTTGATGTTAGAAATTTCACATTGAGTTGGAATGATGGTTTGGCCTTCTGTGCCATCCTCAATCGTTGGCATCCAGGGAGTCTTGACTATCAGAAGGCACAGCAACTCTCTCCTGACAAGAGACTTGAGCTGGCCTTTAGAGCAGCCAAAGATGTCCTGGGCATTACTCCTTTGCTTGATCCAGAAGGCAAGTCCCCTTGAGTCCAATGGCAAAGTTCTTATTAACCTCCTATGTAGGGAGCTTTCAATCCACAGGTTTACTACTAATGAGGAATTTTTTAAGGTAAAATACACTGATTTTGTGTTATGAACAATTTTTCAGTTATAATTCATAGTATTCTATTGTACTTGAATGCTATTAGTACAGATAAATTGTAACAGAAATATGTGGAATGAAACAGATATATGTCATATCCACTTAAGTTACATTTCTAAAAATGTTCAGTTTGCATGGATATTCAGGTATTTTTGAAAGCATGTTGATAATTATTGAACATATATGCTGTGGTTTGCTTGTGCAGATGTGAACACTCCTGTGCCAGACAAGAAGTCCATCATGATGTATGTGATGTGTCTCTTTCAAGTCTTGCCTCACTCAATGGTAGATGTGGCTGCATTTGAGGCTGATCACTCTACCTCAGATGTGAGTTCTTTCTCTTCAACATGCTTTTGTCCCTTCTATTCATAATGGTTTGTTCTTGTTAGTCATATAGTCTTGTTGCATGCTGATAGTTGTGAACTCATAAGCTATGTTGCCATATCATCCATGATGACACAGAATATTTAAGAGAATGGGTGAATATGTTGACACAGAGTCAGGCAAGCCGACCGAGTTCTCGTCCACTCAGTCTTACTTCTGTGGACATGACCAGCTACCAAGGAGTCCTTGAAGAAGTCCTTGCTTGGCTTCTAGAAGCAGAAGATCGCCTGCAGCAAGAAGGAGACATCGGGACTAGTCTAGACACTGTACGCAAGCAGTTCCAGCACCATGAGGTTTGTTTTAAATACATTTTTACTGATTATCATCAATACAAAGGATGTGTTGGTCAATTTGCATTTGTCTTTTTTTTTTTGTTAGGAGTTCATGTTGGAGCTGCGTCAGGAGCAAGACTCAGTGGGAGTTGTGCTTCAGGAGGGAAATAGATTGATCTCAGAAGGTCGAATGAGTGATGAAGAGGAGAGTGAAGTCCGAGTTCAAATGAAGCTTCTTAGCACAAGATGGGAAGAGTTGCGGCTTCAGGCCATGGACCGCCAGGACAAGTTGTCCTTGATCCATATATAATATTATATCTTTCATTGCTTTGTATTCAAGCATTGACCATGTCTTTTGTCTTAGGCTTCAGGAGAACCTGATGAGTTTACAACAATTGGAGCTGAGTCGCCTACGAGCTTGGCTGACTGAACTGGAAGATGCTATCTCCAAGCAAGAAAATCCTGGCCCCAGTTTTGAAGACTTTCAGCACCAAGTGCAGAAACATGGGAGCTTGGCAAACAAGTTGCGAGAGATGCAGGGCATTGTCACTCTTCTCTCTGACATGGTGGTTGTTGTTGATGAATCTGATACAGATAATGGTGAGTGAAAGAACAAAAGAAACTCTGAATTTGTTGTTGAAAATTTGATTTAAAAAGTTCAATCCTGTTCTTCCTTTATTACACTTATCTATCTTTTTATTTTATTTTTGTGCATATAAATTATTAGGATATGAGATAGTTGATAAATGGGTACTGTATGAACTTTGATAATTTATTCAGTAGCCACAATTTGAGCAACAAACCATATCATTTTGCTTTTTATTTGATTTCAAAATGGGAATCCATGGAAATGAAATCAATCCAGTGTAATGGACATATTAAGTTTCAATGAAGTGACTGGGCTTGATGGCCAAGTGAAACCCAGGAGTAAAGGGATTGAGTCTGGGTAGTAGTGGGTTCATCCTCTTGTCAACCTGTGTTTGTGGGGAGTGTCTACCTAGTGTGGGATGACACACACCAGTGTGTGCTACATCTAGGAAATACACATGCAGTGCACCTTAAAATCCACTCATCCTAGTTATGAGCTTAGGCAACCCATGAGCTACCCTTATGGCCTCCTATAGCAGTGGTTCTCAACCAGTGTGCCGTGGCACACTGAACACATGGATGTTCTATGAGAGTAAAAGGGAGGTTGAGAACCACTGTCCTATAGGACTGTCAAGGGGTTGTCACAGCCCTAGGGACTGCCATTCAGATGTGGTGCCTGTGCTAAGCAGGAACCCTCTTCCTCTCTGTGTACCCTACTAATGCTTCTATTGATAGTGTCTTCCACTTGTTCTGTCTTTAGAAACATTTTTTTTTCAGTTAAGTGACATCAATCATGTTTATGCTATCTATTTGTGTATGTTCAGATATTTTGTAATGGAATTCTCTTATGGTAAGGTCAGCCCAGCTGAATAATTGATGGTAGGGATTCATTGTGAAGTTAGACCTATATATAACTGAAATTGGTCAGTTCATGTTGCCAATTTTTAATTTGGTTGAAAGCACAAGTAAATAGCTGTTTATCCTTGCAGAATACAGTGGGTTGGAAGACGAGTTGGCTGCAGTAGGTGAGAGATGGAGTCATGTGTGTGGCTGGGTGGAAAGCCGAGGGAAGCTCCTCCGGGAATTATCTTCTCACTGGGACCCCCTAGAAGAGAAACGAAAGACACTTCTCACCTGGCTGGAGGCCAAGGAATCCCTCTTGGAGAAATCACCTCTCACCCTCACAGAACTACAGGTTAGGAAACTCATTAGGGGCATTCCTTTTCTCCCCAATTCCTCTGGGGCATCCTACCAAATATAATGAATCAAATGTACTCTCCAATAGAGAATTCTTGTTTTCTAATCAAAGTTAATGACCTATTTTTATTGTATTCTGTATGTCCAATTTAAACTTGGGAAAAATGTTAAAATATATATTGAGTTGAAATAAAATGACAGGGAAGGGTAAGTTTAATATTAATAATTGGAGAACCAAGGGATGTGCATTATACTTTTTATCCTCATTCATTCTTCTCATAACAATAGACATGTTGATGACATAGATTTTGTTCAGGAAACATTTAGTGCTCTTGAAGAACTCCTATCAGTGTCCAGATGAGTTAAGAAAATGAGGCTATTGTATATGCATAGTGGTTGTTCATTTGTTCATGATGGGGCAGTTCTTGTTTGAATGGCAGGCAGTACGAAGTGAGGCAGAAGTGGAGCATGCCCGCCTGCAGAACATCAATGAGGGAACAGAGAAGGTGGGGCATCTTCTTGGCAAGGAATCCCAGGGAGAGAAACTTCTTAGGGATCAACTCACTTCTCTCCACGCCAAGTGGGATTCTCTCCTCCTTCAGCTTGACTCATGCCGAGAGACAGTGAGAGTTCACTTGATGAAGGGCAAAACATTTGTGAATTTGAAAGTCATTATTACTGAGAGTAGATAAATCTCTTACTCTTGCCTCTTCAGGTGACAGCCAATGGAAAGCCTGGTGCCAAACATGAACAAACTGATGTGAGTCCTTTCTTCTGTCTGAGGATGCATGGCAGAAATATTATCTGAAGTATATAAGTCTGATTAAAGTAGGCCTACCACCAGTACCAGATTAAGTTACAGATACATGGGATTCAGGTCCATGAAGTCAATAAAGGCTTCACTTGGGAGTAACAAAGTAATTAATGGATAAAGTAGAATTGAGTGAACCTTTGTGAAGAGGACTGAACCATGGTGACTTCAAGGGGTCCTTCAGCCCTTAGCTCACTTAAGCAATTGCTTTGCCTTTCAGTTTTGTGAAAATAGTCATGTCACTCCTTATTGCAAGCAAAAAAAAGCAAAAGCACATGTGCACCTCTACCTTAATTTTAGGGCTTCAGTTGCAGCCCTGGTGGGAGGTCACTCGCCTGTACCCACTATAGAGTTAGGAAGGGTTCTTGCCTATATGAGAATTGGAGCTAGTTTGTATGCAAGGTAGGGGCATGTGATATGTGATTTGGGCACTAGCATACCAGCCACCTTGTACCTTGTAGCTGGTATCCCAGTTTCTATCTCAGTGGACTCCAATGAGTGACATGGATCCTCAGTGATGCATTCATGGAGTTTTGTGATGTTCTCAATGTGTGATGTTCATGGCCATTCTCTTCCACATTCCTTTTTCTCGATTCCAGAATTCAACTCAGAATGAAGCTGCTGCATTTGGTGAAGTGTGACAGCATGTAGCCATGCAGTGATGATAAACTCATGTCTGCATTGCTGTAGAAGAATTCCTTCTGCATGTTTCAATTGAGAATCAAAGAGCAGTTTTGTTGTATTCCATTGTGTGACAGATAAAAGAATGATATGATTTTGGTTGACATACAGAACTGAACTTAAAAACAGGAAATCATTGAAATTCTGTCTATAAATAGCTTACATGTCCAAAAATAGATCCCTGAAATTTGATTGGGTAAAACCTCTTAATAGTCATTTTATTGCAAAGTGAAATTATTTATGGGGTGAACCTTGCACTATGTCCAACAACATGGCACTGTTCACTTCAGCAAAGTTCAATACTATAATGAACCACATAAACTTGAAGGTCTTATGTGGGTCTTTATTAACCTATCTATCTGTACTTTTTCCCAATCCCATTCCTTGCACTCAAGGATGACTTGGCAAGGTAAGCTGTGTTAAGCATTTCAAGGGCTCATCAAGTCAGTCAGTAATAATAAATCACTTCTGCGAAAATATTTTTGAGAATGTCTGAAAAGGATTTTATTCCTGACCAGGTTGATGGAGGCAGCCTTGCCAAGCGCACTCGAATAGAACTGGAGGAGGTGAAAGAAGAGGAAGAAGAGGAGATGGAGGAGGGAGAAGATGAGGAAGAGACGGAAGAGGAGGAAGAAGGGGAAGAAGAGGGAAAGATGGAAGGGCCTAAAGAACAGTGGACTTGCTTAACATCCAAGTTTTCCAAGGTCTTGGATCACCTTGAGGCCATCCTTGGGATTACTGAAATATCAGATGAATCCTTTGATAGGCTGTCAGTTGAGAGACAGCTTACAGTTTATGATGTGAGTTATCATAGCTGAATGGTATTGAAAGAGTTTCTTTTTTGCTTCTATTTTGTGGTTTTCTTTGGTCAGGAGCTCCAGGAGAAGATGAAAACACATTCCACAGATTTGACCCAACTTAAAAACTTGGCATCCCAGCTCTCAGGCATGTTGAAGTCTTTTTACTGACCTTCAGCTGCAATGTTCAGCTTGTTTTAAAGAATTAGATTTTCTGGTATTGCAGGTGATGTAGAGGTACGCAGGACTTTGATGCCTCTAGATAGTCGATGGCAAATTGTAGAGGAGAACCTGTACCATCGTGGCCAAGCCTTAGAGAGGACACGGGAGCGACTCCGCATCTCCAAAGAACAGATGTTACTTGATACACCTCTTCAGGAACTCATGAGTTGGCAGGATGAACATAACACAATCCCTGATGACCCTGAACAATTACATTCTGGTATTCAAGAATGCCTTGTAAGCAACCCCTTGGATCTTAACAATTTAGTTTCAGCCAAGACAGCTTGAAGCATGGATTAATTCTTATTGATCAGAAACAAGAGGAGGAGATGAAGAAATATCAGGACCAATTGGAGAGGTTCCTGGATGAAGTTGAGCAACTTGGTGATCATGCTGTATTCAAAGATGTAAAGCGCTTTGAGAATGAATGGCGAACAGCCCTCAAGAAGTGAGTCCCACCAGAAAATACTTCCTTAAATCATACTAGGATCGAGGTCCCACACATGGCCACTTTAAGGGAATTCTCCATTTGATGATTGAATTTTATATCAGTCCTTAGCACCTTATGTGTTGTTTCAACTTTTAAAGCAACTTAAATTATTGATGAATAGCATCAACTATCCAAAGTTACAAAAGATATATCTTATTTCTCTAAGAAAGTTTTTTATATGAACTTTGGTAAAATTGCCTCCTATGTCCACCTTAAAATAAATCAGGTAATGGCTATGTATCACACTTATTTCTCATACAAATGTTTAAAAATCAACATATGTGGACCAACAGACACAGTATAGAACCAAGGCTACAATGAATCAGATTGGCCAGCTAACATTGAGGGCAAAGTTAATTGTACTCCTAAGTTTCTGCAATAGAAGATGGGAATATTGTGGTAGCAATCAGATTTTAAATTTTTTTCCCCAAAGAGGAACTATTTCAAGATGTGAATTTTATATGGTAAGAAATGAAATAAGCCAAGATTTGAACCAGATTGCACATTTTGAATCTAATTGTTTCAGTAGCAGAGAAAAGGCAGCTAACTTGATAAAGTGGTCATAGGAGGACCTGTGGCCATAACTGGGTGCTTGACCCTAGAAAGTCTTTCTTGAAGATTTACTACAGCAGTTGCTACATGATAGGTTGACAGAACATCACAGGAGCCTGGTAGAGAAGGTCCGCTCCACTGGTGCCCTGCCACCAAAGTACAAAGCTGCCTTAGAAGGATTTCAGACCTGGCTTGGTGAGGTTGAAGACACAATTGGATCCAAGTCTCCTTCTATCATAGGACTGGACTCTATCAAGGAGCTTCTTCGCAAATTTAAAGTCAGGCTTCCTGGACTTATCAAAGTAAACTTAATTATTCTTGATGTTTTATTGATTTTTCTTTGTATGCAGGCAGTGGAAGAAGAGTTGACATCACAAGAAGACAGCTTCAAGTTCATCAAAGACACTGGAGACAAAATATTGGAAGAGATGACAGGAGAGCACCAGGATAAACTGAAGCAGGCAGTATCATTGGTTGAAAGACGTTGGTTTGCTTGCAAGCAGAAGATAACTGATAGCATCACATTCCTTCAAAAAAGTACTACTTTATATCATATATTGTACAGTGTGTACAGTCAGTTGTGATTTAGGCTTTTGACCTGTCATGATATTGATTTTTTGAAGCTCCTGCAAACCAGGGCCATTTGGACATACTTGGTAATTCAGTGAAGCTGGGTGAAAAGGGGACTTGCATTGATAAAGCACTTTCTTTTAGATCTTAGTATGGGCTATTTTTGAATTATGGACACCCTAACCCAAACCCATAAGGCTCTTTTTGAGTTATATCCAGGTTTGGGGCCAAATAACACAGTAATAAGTTCTGACTAGTCTCCTGAGTCCATGTTCTCTGCAATTTGAGTCTGCTGTTGTGAAGTCTATAACTGTTTACAAGCTTTGAACTCAGATGGCAGAAATTAAGATTTTACATGGTGCATGGAGATGGTGCAGTTAATGTAGCAATTAACCAATGGAGATTAGTAATTAATTTAGTAAGGGAAAGTTTTAATGTGGCATTTCAACTTGTGGATCACACTAGTTTGTGACACTCCAGTTTCAAAGGAGGTGCAACGTGTTGATTTCTTTGGCTTGTGCACTATGGAATCCTGAATCAAGTTGGCAGTCTCTGGAGTCAAATGTTTCTTCAATGACCAGAGTGTCCAACATTTTTGTTCTTTACAGATCCAGTTGTCTTCCATTTCACTATAATCTGACATAATTTTGGTAGTTTGTGCTTGACAACCAGGGAATTTTCTTCTAAATGCACACTGGATTCTGGTTATTGATTTCAGTATTACCTTTTGTTCAACAATAAATGTTCTTTGTTCTATTGTCAGTTGTGCAATTTTTCACCCACAAGGGAGATATTACTACAATAAATATATTTATGAGTTTCCTTAAGCATCTAACTATACTACTATTTCTGCTACACCTAGAACAGCTTTTATAAGAGTTTGAAAGCAGGTAGATTTTTGGAGTTCATCCCCTACAATAAGGAAGATTCTGAAAGAGTTAGTGGTGTAATGGTCTCATTCGGCAATAAGTTTAAACTGAATATGTGCAGTAAGTGCATTATTCTGAATATTTTTCTTTGTCTGGACATGGAAGTGCTTACCTGGTTTCCAACTTTTGTAGTGGAGCGGGATCTGCAGCAACTCATGGATGAGATTGAAGGTCTCAATTCATGGATGGGAGAAGTGGATGTGTTCTTGCATGCTGAGCCCCCAGCAGTAGGAGATCCTGAGACACTGGAAGCTCAGCTGGAGCAGAGTAATGTAAGTCTTTCCAATGTATTCTATCCTACGAAGTGTTGGTCATGAGTAAAAAATAAATTTGTATTATTTTAGCAAAGGGTATTTGAGACATTTAGCCAGTTTTATAGCCAAATTCTGTAGGTTGATTAATTGTTGTATAAATTGTATGTCTGTATGAATATGATGGTTATATGCACAGTAGTCAGTTATGTTTCAAAAGCAAGTGCTCAACCACTCTTGCAATGTTGGCTTTGGAAATAAGTAGGCCTATTTCCATGGTAGAGGCATACCTATGTATGCCTTGTTTTTAGATGATTGCAAGCATTTGCTAAAGTAAATTAAAAATTAGAAACTTAGTAAATTTTTAATTTCTGATTAAATTATAAACTTAGTAATTTGCTTATCTGCAGAAGACTTGATGTCTGTGAATCTACCATTCTGTTATAGACAGCAGGAATGGATTGTCTTGTTGAATGGTATGCACTTTCTTGGTTAATGTCATGGTGTTAATTTGCAGTGCTGAGTTTAATGTTGCTATGCAAATCAATCAGGTGGTTTTCTTTGTATCAGATGTGCAGGTGAAATGATGTATGCAGCTGTGAAAATTGGCTAGGTAGTTTGTGAGAAGTGGAGTAAAAAGCAAGCTTAGCTATAGAGTCGAGTAAACTCAGGTTTGGCACATGGGAGACATGGCACTGCTGAATAAGTAAATTCACCAGAACAGGTTAGGTGCATCATCTTCAATACTTCATAGGATGCAGGATATGGTAAGAAAGAGACCAATGACTTTCAACCTTAATATTTCCACTCACATTGAAGCTATTTTGTAAAACTAAGTTTCCAACTGATTCTCAGAACTCTTATCTGAATTTGTTGGACTTAAGCAATACTATCAGCTATTCTTTGTGTATAGAGTGTTTGTTTCTATGCTTTTTGTGTGTTTCTTTTGTGTTTGACATTGCTTGTGCAATTTGCTGCAAAAAAAGGACCAGAGCTAGTGGAGCTGCCAGTCATATGGGGTGCCAGAATGGAATGGGCTAATATAGTTGAATTACTATTCTTGGCCTTTCCAACATTTTATGTTTTTGTCTCTATAATCCTGAAAGTAGACATGATGGTCATAAAAGTGCAGATGGAGCTACCCACTGAAGTATGTTATGTACCTGTGTAGAATTCTGTTGAGGTTCAGAAATGCAGTCAAGTCATGAGTTGAATTTAAATTATTTCGTGGTTTCTAACTTCAAGGTTCTCAATTCATAAAAAATCTACAGTCAAGTTTTCATCCACTATGAGGAGGAAAGGTTGTTTCATAGCTGTTTACCTTAGCTCTAAGAATAGTTTTGTATAAAAAGTCCCAATTACTCATTATTAGTCAAATCATTCATCATTGTCATTTATACCAATAATAAGCAGAGAAAAGCTTTGATCAAAGTGTTCAGATAAAGAAAGAAAAAAGAAATGTTTCTTCATGAGCAACCAACATTTTAAGCCATGCAATTTTAAATTAGGCAAACATGCAATAGTCAGCTAGTTCCATCTGAAAGTGACCAGAAGTAGACTATAATTTTAATGGACTTTAATGCTTTATGAACAAAAAAAAAAAAACCTCTAGTAAGGAAGCATTCTGAAGGTCAAACTATGACCTGAAATAACCAGAGCATCTTGGCAGCCATTTTTGCTGGGTTGCCTTTCATATACTTGGAAACGCAGCTTTCTAAGGCCAAAATCTGCACATTTTTGGCCTTTCTCCTAATTATTTTCACACCATTGGAGGTTTTTCTTCATATTATATTGAGTAGAAGACCCAGATATCCTGCAACTTTTCCCGTATTGTGCTGTAAGGAAAGTTGGTTAACCCTTTGTGGTCCAACCTCATCCCCGGGATGAAATTGAGTCAAAGTTGTCGCATTATGATAATAATTTTGCTCAATGGAACAGTGCTATTCTTTTGTGTGTTTATAGGCGTTATTTTTACTTTATCAGATGGCTATAAATTACTCAACTGAAATAGAAATAATCAAACCTCATTCGAACCTATTTGAATAAAATACAGTGTAAAAAATTGGACTTTTTGGCCTGCAAAACTTAAAAATAATAGGACTGCAAAGGGTTAAAGCTAGACAGGTTATTTAGTGGTGTACCCTGTTTTCCTTCGCATGAGTATACATATTAATGTAGATATGGCTTGAAGGGTTAATGGAGCTGTGACATTGTAAGACTGATACGAGTCTGTCAAGGGATTCCTTCTGGCAGCAGCAATGAAGAGTATCAAATCCAGCTGCATGCTCATGATTCAACTATAATTAGTGCAGGTCTTGAGGCTTCCTTAGCTAGAAGTGCCGAAAGCCAAAAATCCTCCTTGCTGTTATCCCGATTCATTGTATGAGCTTTAGTATGATCTTGCTGCTGCTTGATGAGCAGGATGATTGGTGAGACAAAGGAAAAGAGTACATCCTAGTTGAACATATCATCAGCATACTCCAAAGGCAGGAAATTTGACAGTTTTCTATGGATTCCCATAAAGAGGTGGAACTACTGCAGTTTGGACTGTAATTCAATTGTATTGAGACTACATGATACTATAGGCCTGCTTAGTAGACAAGATTGCCACTCAAAATAGAACTGCATGCCTATTTTCAAATGATGTAAACTTTCCATACTGAGGAAGCATATGTATTCATTGATGAGTTTGTGAAAATATTTAGAATAGAAGAAAGAAATTGCTTACCTAAGATTTCCCCCCTGGGCTTGCCTATATTTTTTTCTATGGCAGGCTCTGCAAGATGACATCAAAACATTACAGGAGAGTTTGAAAGGAATCAATGTGAATGGGGAGCAAATCCTTGCATCTGCTGCATCATCATTTGGCTCATCCCTGAGGGAGAAGCTGATGCACCTAAATAAACGGTGGGAGACAGTGGTATCAGAGGCAAGAAAGCAGAATGCCATTCTTCACAATGCACTCAGGGACACTCAAGAGGTAAACCTACAGCAATGAAAGAGTATTACCATTTTTCATTTCATGAATTGGTATGTACAGGGTGGACCATAAATATTCATACCATGTATGAATATAACTTGTATTTCTGCATCCTCAGTACAAACAAAGAAAAAAAGGTGTGACACTTATATATCAATGTATTTTTGGTGGTCAATTGCATGTGCTTCAGCAGAACTTCTTTTCTAAGTCACATGGCTTGATTCTCATAAACTTGTCTGGGAAACCATGTTGCAGAAATTAACAAACATGAATGGCCCTCCTTGCAACTTTCACTGGAAACCAATATATTACTGTACATGGAGTCTGTTGGAAGTGGGTGTCCAAATATGAAATCAAGTGACCTAAATCTTGTGCTAAACAGGAGTAGAACCCTGTTCATCCAGTTAAATTGAATGGCATACTCAAAGATTGGAGATTGCTTTCAAGAAGAAGGGGGACACATCAAAGATATTTTGTGAAAAATTACTGTGAGTCTTGGTGTCTCATTTGAGATTCAGTTGATTAATGATAAAGTAGTAGTACAGGAAACATAAGAATTTGATTTGGTATGAATATTTATGGCCCACCCTGTGGGGATACATGCAAAGCATGAGGTATGTGCCAAAATGCTTTAAATTTTGCTAAGCTTTCCTTCTTTGACCTTTAGCAAACGTTTTAAAATATAATGTCTTAAAATGGTGTTTCATGTTGTGTCATTTTGCTGATACATATGAACAGGTACACTTATGCCAATTTATTTTGCGGGACAGGTGTTAAATGGTGTGGATGTGACATGTAGTTGGTTGGATGACTTGGAGGCAAGGATCCCCACTCCAGATCCAATCAGGACCCCTCAGGATCTCTCCTCACTCCTTTCTTGCCTTAGAGAGCTCAAGGATGAAATTACAACAAAGCAGCAGGCATTCCAAGATCTCAATGAGAAAGGTGGATTAAAATTTTGTAAGCAGAGTGCTGAGAAATATTCTTTCTTTCTCATATGTTTATTACTGTCAACTGCTGAACAGCAAACGAGTTGCTGCTGCAAGTAGAAGCTGGGAACAAAGAAGTGCTGGCCCGACAGGCAACACATATGAACTCTCGCTGGACTGAGGTGGTGACATCCATAGACAGGAAACATGCATCTGTCCGACAATTGTCTCAGTTGTATGCAAAAGTCAAAGGTGTACCATCTCTCACTATCAAAACGGTGTCAACTGTTCATATTGCAAGCTAGACACTCAACCTTCAAATGAATCCTTTTCCTCTAGGTCTGATTCAGAAAGAAAATGATTGGCTGAAACAGCTGGCTTGCAAGGTGGAACGAAGTTCTCGGGCAGCTGCAGATGCAGAAGAGATTTCGGCTGCTCTGGATGTTAGAAAAATATTCTGTTGCCACTCATTTTTTGCTTCAGAATCTTGATATCTCTGTGTCTTGTGACAGGAACTGGAGAATTTTGTCAGCAGTCGGGACTTGGACAAGTTAGAAGATACAGAGCAAATGGTTCGAGAACTCAGTGAGAACAACATCATGGCAGACTCCTTGCAAGCTGAAATTGATCGCATCAATGTCACTTGGCACACTCTTCGGAAACAGGTACTGATGCTGAAGAAATAGATAGATAACTTGAAGGTTAACAATTATGTGGCTTTGAGATGGATGTGATGATAAAGTACTGAAATAACTGCATTGTATAATGCCTCTTATAGTTGCCACTTCTCATACTATAAATTGTTAAATATTGAGTTCTGATGGCAGAATGCAGGCTTCGTTGGTTTTATGTCACATGATTGGTCAAGATGGAAATTGTCTTCTGCATTGATCCAGTGAGTATCCTGTATTGAAGATATTCCCCTATACTGGATTGATGTAGAAGTTATAGAATAGCCCCAATAGGTCCTATTCAATGTAATTAGGAATTGGGACATGTGATCCTGTTTAAGAGTAGGGACAAACAAAAAGGTAGGTAACAAAAAGTTGCCTATTTTGAAGTTGAGGTTTTGTCATGCAAACATACTGTACTGTAGCATAGAAATGTTTCTTTTTTAATTGTAGGGTTATGTAATTTTCAAAAAGGTTTGAAGAAAATGAAGCTTGAAGAATAGCAGCTTTCATGTTTTGCTGCTTTTCTTATCCTAATAGCAACATAGGGAGAGAAAATTAGATGGAAATAGACAGTAATTGGAAACATTTCTGTGCCCAATAGAAATGTGAATGAACAATGCATCAAGTGAAAGAGTGAATGTGGCAGGTGAATTATTTCTTTAAAATAAAAAAGGAAACAGGAGAAAAAGTAAAAGTGAATATTTGACCTTTCAATAATTTTTTTTGTCCCTCACCAGCACTGTAGCCATGATTTTGTTAAAAGGGAGCCTAGAATTTCCCTAGCTTCTGAGGAGGGAGGGGGGAAGGATGGGGGAGGGATGGTGGATGCATTTCAACCAGAGCTGGGGGAGCTGAAGCCCCCAGCTACCTTCACTATGCCACTGTCCCTCACAGAAAGGTTTCCCCAAGACATTTAGTCCATTTTCTCTAATATACCAGGAATGTAAAAAAAAAAACATTAATTTTAATCTAAATATTTCCACTCCCACTGAATCTATTTTCAGGAAACTTTCACTATGCATAAATGGGCGTTTTTCCTACTGTTTCTTAAAATTCCATCCAAATTTGTTGGCCCAGGGCAATAGTATCAGCAATTATTGAAAAGAAGTTATATATTTAGAATTGACAAGAGCTCCTGCAGGTAGTGGAGAAAGGAAACACTCAAGTGATGTTCTTCCAGATTATGAGGACCACTTTGAACTCATCTTCCATTTTCATTCATTCTTTGGGCTGGCTGTCTCATGCAGATGGTTTTCACGTGCTAATTCAAAACGAATAGCAGATGAATCAATGAAATCCAGAGAGTTTTCTCACAGGGATGGGGCTAAAGAAATTCCTTGAAGATAATCTCCACATAGCTCAGCTTATAAATGTCTCAATGTCTCCATCTTTGCTTAGGCAAGTGATCGACAGAAATTGATGGAAGGGAATATTGAAGAGGCCCAAGAGTGGGAAAGAAGCATTCTCTCCTGCCAAGAATGGATTTCTTGCACTGACACTGCCCTGTCCAGGAACCTCCATTCAGATATCTTCCCTGGAGACACAACTGAGGAGCATCAGGTTTGTCAATCCTTCAACCCTGCTGGGATTGACTTCACTTCTAATTAGTGTGCAAACTATCATTTTCTACATTCCTGCCATTGGGTCAGCTAATCAAGATCTTGTCATGTGTAATAAGTACCTGATTCAGTCTTTCCTAAGCTACTTGTTCATCTACAGGGTGTCCCACTTATTGCGGACGATTTTAATTGTGTAGAAAATTATTCCTATTTGCACAAACTAAACACAATTTTCACAGCATTTAGACAACTCTTTAGCATTTGTTGTGACAAAGTCTCAGCCAAATCAAATGCACCAATTACGAGCTATGAACTTCAACATGGCCCCCATTGATTTCAAGCACTTTTCTCAATCGTTTGTTGTATTCAAATAGCATTTTCTCATGCATTTCAATGGTAATGTCTACAAACGCAGCGGTAATTCGTTCCTTCAGTTTTGGGAATTTCCCTTGGTTTGGTCAAGTAGACTTTCGACTTGACGAAGCCCTACATGAAGAAGTCGCATGGCATCAAGTCCTGCCCGCCCCACCTCAATTTGGCAAAGAAGTTTGTGCCTGGCTGAAAAAAGTTTCCGGATGGAAGGATGGGTCACGGATCGCTGGCTTGCTGGCCAGCCAATTCTCCTGACTTAACACCGTGCGATTTCTTCATGTGGGGCTTTGTCAAGTCAAAAGACTATGCGACCAAACCGAGGGAAATTCCCGAACTGAAGGAACAAATTACTTATGAGTTTGTAGACATTACTGCTGAAATGCGCAAGAAAACGGTGCTTGAATACCACAAATGATTGGGAAAAGTGCTGAAATCGATGGGGGCTATGCTGAAGTTTATAGCTTGTAATTGGTGCATTTAATTTCGCTGAAACTTTGTCACAATAAATGCTAAACAGTTATCTAAATGTTGTGAAAATTAAGTTTAGTTTGCTCAAGTAGGAATAATTTTATACGTGATTAAAATCATCCGCGATAAGTGGGACACCCTGTACATAAATATGGCCAGAGCCAAAGTCACAACAGGAGGCAAAGGGGAAAGATAGCCTGTCCAACTCCAACTTTAAATCCAAGTTTTGAAACAGAAGTTGCACTTGAGGTTTAGATCCAGTCAATGTTGCCTGATTTAAATTAAGTTACTTGTTTAGGTTCTTGATTGCTATTTTCAAATGGTGTTACCTGGTGCTGGCTTTGAAGCTTCAAGTTTCATATGTATACATGTTTTAAAGATTCAGATATCCCTGAATCATGAAAATTCAGGTCTAATTAATTCACTATCTTGCCAAGAGCCAAGACCCATCCATAAATATAGTCATTGCTTCACCTACCAATATGATGCCGAGCCCCACTGGCATAAATGGCAGCTTGAACCTTGCCTGACCTAGCAAGTTACCAGCATGTCCACAATACTTCCTCTTCCATGACATTATGCACTGCATTTGAGGGCAAGAACATTGTAATAGCTAGATTGGACTATCCCACCAAACTCCCCATGAGCTATCACCATGCAAATAAACTGCACAATGACATTTTTGCCTTTTCAGAGAATGATGGATGAGTTTGACAAGTTCAGCCAGCAAATGGGTGCATGCCAGGCCCAGGTTGACAAATACAGAATGGAAGGTAACGTGGAGGCTGCATCTCGACTGGGAGAACAGCTGGCACTTCTCCAGGTCAGTATTTCTCTTGGCAGTGGTATCTTTGGTCACATAAATTGGTTAACTTCACGTATCAGTCAAGGAAGAATGAGAGGGTTGCTGTTGAACTAGGCATTTCCATCCTTCTTTTTGCTGTTTGACCAGCAAATACAAAAAATATTCGACACATTTTGGATAAAAAATACATTTACGATAGTGAATATCAATACGAATGTATCAATCTATGGAATTCACAAAATGTGTTCAATCTAGTGGCCTTGTTGTTGAGTGCAGAGTCTAAGTCTTTTCTTAGATGGTTCTTGGACCCCTTGCAGCACCCTTGAAGTGATGAACATGTCAAGGCCCTTGTGTATGCTGTCAAAATTTGAGATACTGTTCGCTTGAAGCAACATATCATCAACACATGCATATCCATCACTTCAATGGTGCTGCAAGGATTCCAAGAACCATCTAAGAAAAGACTTAGACTCTGCATTCAACTAGACCATTTCTTTTAACACATTTTGTGAATTCCATAGGTTGATAGATTCATATTGATATTCCCTATGGTGCATGACTTATGAGAAATCCTGTAGAATGACATGATTGAAAATTAATTGCATATTGTTTGCCTAATGCCTTGACACTAAGCAAAAAAAAAAGCAATGAATAGTAAAACTTGCATAGTTCACACTGGAAATATTTTCTTATAGCCAATCAATATCTGGAATTTTCAAACCTAAATTATGTTGGAAATCTATTTGACTAGGGAAAATTCAAGGACCTTGAAGGGAAGATATTGCTGTTTAGAGGGGTGACTCAGATCCAGCCAAGACTTACCAGACTTCTAAGACTGATGAATGAGCTCGAACAGAATCTGTGCCTGACTGATCTCTCCTCTGATGATCCTGACTCCATTCAGGGCCATCTTAATCACTGCAATGTGAGAGGGATCCATTGAATACTTGCCACTTCAATCATGTGAATGGTTGCACTGCAGCATTTCTGTTGATCCCACCAGCGCTTTGGGAAGGAGCATACAGACCTGAAGGAAGAAGTAGAAGAAGTAATCAGGAAGGGACAGGAGGCAGTGCAACAGCAGCAGGTTCCAGATCCCCACTCCCTCAAAATAAAACTAGAGAAACTACAGGAATCATATCACCAGGTAGGCCTACACAGAGATGGCTATCATGGCTTGGATGCCCCCTTGGTACATCCGACACTGATGAATTCTGTGGCAGCTGCTCAGCATTTGTTTTGCTGAGATGCTTTCAGGGAATGGCAGGAGGCCAATAAACACTGTATTCTTGCCAGGTGGGACAAAAGATTGGGGAGAGTCGACGGAACTTGGAACAGGCCCTTCGTGTGAGTCGAACCCTGAGTCAGCAGCGACAGGCGCTTGAAGTGTTTCTTCTTGCCCTTCAGACAGACTTGCAAAAACACCAAGAGAATGACCCAGTCAAGGATGTTCCTGCTGAAGTGGAGTTCATACAGGTCAGTACCTCTCTTGTGTAGGGGTTTATCTTGAAATTGTTGTGGTGAGAACACCTGGGAAAAATAGATCAAGAAGCTATCATGATCATCTCAAAAATGATCTTAGTGCTTGACTCTTGAAGAAAGTGTTATGATCCCTGTCCTTTCAGTATCATGAAGATATTAATTATGAGGAAAATTTGCACAGGAGTGGATATCTCTAGGATCATCACATTCCTACCTTAAGGATGCCAAATCTTAACAATCCAACATGCAGTTGAATTCCATTGATATTAACATTCTATTTGCATATTACATGGATTTCTGAGGTTAACAGATAAATTGGCCCTGGTTGTTTTCTGAAGAAGCAATGTTTACATAGCTGTATTGGTGCCAACTTACTTAATGCCTCAATAGGGTCATTTGTTGATTTCTTGTTAATTCATTATCCAGTGGCTGAAAGAAGCTATTTGATTATCTGATGGTTAGCAAAAATTGAAAGGAAACTCTCATTGAGAGTGAGAATTCTCTTGAAAGGAGACTGCATGGAAGGTACTAAAGCTCTTCCTTAGTTATCCTTTAGTCATACATTTTAGTCTACAAACATCTGTGAAAAGGTAAAGGAGGAATATCCCCTTTCTAAAAGAGCTCTTGAGAGAGGGAGAAAAATGGCAGGAAAATTTGTTTTCTTGTTTTTCTCCCCACTTTGTACCCCCCTGTCCTTGAATGAGGAGTACATTTCTTTCCCACACCTAGGGGATAGGGGAGCAATTGCATTGCTCCATATAAAAAACCAGGGCAGGTGTATGAACTTGGTAGGAAATATTGATCAGTCTCGTGACCAGATAGTTATTGTGACCCATTATGCAGATCCTTGGTTAATATGAATAAATATTGAATAATATGAATAATTTTTGTCGCCAGGAATTGTTGCTTCTTTGATAGACCAATTATTTCTCACTTAATCTCATTTCTGGATCATATGCCTGGGTCTGAGTAATGAGGTGATACAATCAGGGAAGTTAGTAGAAGGGCTTAAGCCTAGGTTTCAGGGGAGTGATGGATTGCCAAGCCATTATGATGTATGAATAACTGGGGAGAGAAAGCTCATGAATATCATTTCTCTTATGCAATATGCATTCCTGGTTGTTTGCAGCCCCTTATGCATGCTAGGTTAAACTTCTTTTGTCTCCTGCATAAGTTTTTGTGTCCATCACCAGATTCAGAGGGGTTTATGTATTAATAAAAATTAATAATCACTTTAGCAGCTTACATTTAATTGTATTAAAAGTTTTGATCAAGGAGCATCACCTTTGTGTCTATCAGTGAATCAAGTTTTGTTATTTATGCAGAAATGCATAGGAGAATTGGAAGGAAACAGGAACATTTTATCAAGTTTGAGGAAAGGATATTCCACACTGTTAGCTTTGAGTGAGGGAGCAGGCAATGAAGCTATTCAGGCACATCTTCTAGACATCAACCAGCTGTGGGACTCTGTCCAAGAACGTCTCCACAAACGACAAAAGGATCTGCAGGTGCATAATATCCCCTCTGGTCTTTCCAACTTCTTTCTAAAGTCTCACAAATTCCATCTTTAAAGGATACTTATTTCCCTGCCTGAAGATGATGCAGGAGAACCGAGATGTCTTGCTCCAGGAATTCCTGTCTCAGTCTGAGGTCATTGGACAATACTTGGATAAGGTCAAGGAATGTCTTCCTTCAGCCATAGCCAAGGTCTGTTGCATCCATTTGCACTCTCATTCATATCTCATGCTGTGGGGTTCATGACTTGATTTTCATGTTTCAGTTGAGTGAATTGCAACGAGAGATGGGGATAATGCGGGCCAAGATGGAGAGCATGAGGGATACAGCTGTGATTGTGATGGCTCATGGAGATGCTTTCCAGTCTCAGGTTCAACCCAGACTCTCTGCAATCAATCAGCAATGGGATCAACTTGTGCCTCAGCTTGAGGTCTGCTATTGCATTGATTTTGTGTTCATTCAAGCACCCAAAGAAAGTTTTGTTAATTGTTAGCCAGAGATTGGCAATACCATGACTTGAAGCCTCAGGCTACCTCTCAATTTGTATGCATAATTTCATATTTTATTTTGAATATTAAAGGTGCCTCATAATTTTTCAGGATTTAATTAGGATTCAATCAGTGCTTCCTTGAATGAGACTTGGATTCCCAAATAGAAACCCAGATCTCAAATAGATGAATATCAAATAGGGCTATACTGATGTGTTGGCACCACCTGTATTGACCACTGGTGTGGCATCACTGTGGCAGCATCAGTGGATTTGGAAGCTGCTGATGCCAATGCACTCAACAAACAGCTAGGAATTTTCTCATATTGACCTGTGGGATGATGCCTTGGCAAAACCGGGGCAGAGCACTGACAATGGGGGTGTGGTGTGGGGGGGGGGGGGGGGGGGGGGGGGGGGGCTGACAGGGGGGGCAACTGCCCCCTATGGCCAGGTCCACATTCTATTTTTAAAATATTAAAAGCACATAGATCAGTTTTTATGGGCCTGCGAAATGAATATCCAGGTTCTTACCCCAGCTCTAAAATGAATAAGGCGATAGGACAGAGGTTGGTGGTAGGTGGAGCTAGAGAAGTGCCCCCCATGAAAATTTTCTATATCCATCACTGTGGCACCATCAGTGGATTTGGAAGCTGCTGATGCCAATGCCCAATGAACACGCCAAAGAAGATAAATAAATAAAAACACATGAACATATCTTTGTAAACTATTCTCAACAGCAGTAGAAAAAAGCTGGGTTGTCACAATGCATCAATTGATGTATTAATGCCACTATCAATAGTTGGAAACATCAATGGCTTTATTATCCGATGTGATGGTCGCACCTCATCCTGAGCTTGAAAGATGACAATGGGAAGTCTGTTCCCCAATTGAGGCAAGAAGTGATGGAAGTCAAATCTCTGCCTCCATTTGCAATAAGAGATGACTGAATCTACTGGCCCCCTCCACATGATGCATTGATGCACTATTGATAGTTCTGGTCAATACCTCAACTTTTTCAAAGCAGCCATTGTGACTGCTCCAAAATATATTCATTGCCAAAAAAAGCACAACCAAGAAGGAGTTGAGTGATTTTGATGGAATTTGGTACATAAACTCGTACTAGCTTATTATGAAATTATTAGAGTTTCAAGTGTGTGGGATGAATGAGAAGTGGGAGAAGTCCTGCCAATTATTTCAATAATGGCTATGGGGTCATGCTAATGGCCTGAAATGGTTACCTAGAAGGCCTTTATTTATGAAATGTGCCAGGAAAACTCCTATAAATGTGCAGTAGAATTAAGCAAAGTTTTGAGATTGTGAGATGAGGAGAAAACTTGCTAAATGCCAAGAGGAATTGGGGAAGAGGGCCATTGAAGGTGCCAGTTTCCTTTCCCTGCACCTCATGCCACTTCACCATAGGACCGTTGTTGAGTGTCTAACTTTGAGGCAGTGCCAAGATGAGATCTCTGGAAGCAATTCCAACAAGTTATTAGGGTGTTTGATCCATGGATAGTAATCAATGAATGCACTCTAAACATGAAGAAAAGAGTGTTAACTACTGGTTCACCAGGTTTAAGCAACCTGGTTAAAATGGTTAAAAGAATAGAGGCAAACAAGCATTACTTTCAATAAAACCCTCGTAAATAGAATATCCTATGGAGTGTTCTTCAAATCTTATTGCATGACTTTTGACCAGGCAATTGAAACACCTGCACCATCTTGTCGAACATCCCACTCTTATGCAATGTCGCCCAACAATGATGAAATACTTTCCATCGACATCCGTGTGGAGGATGTGGATGACCCACATGGTCAAGTCTATCACAGTGATAGAATTCCACTAAGGAAGTTCCACACCCCCATTGTCAGTGCTCTGCCCCGGTTTTGCCAAGGCATCATCCCACAGGTCAATATGAGAAAATTCCTAGCTGTTTGTTGAGTGCATTACCACCAGATAGCTTGCATTCTTAGTAATCTTAGTAGCTGTAACAGAGGAACAAGTCTTTAGCCAGTTATGCATGAATCTTATCCTCCAGAATGCAATATCTTCAATACTATTGAAATGTTTTATATCTTTCAGGCAGTTAGTTCATTTTCTTATTAACCTTATTAACCCTTTTGGTATTACAATTATACAGGTATGGTAGGGCATGCGTGGTCCTTTTTAACTTTTGGCTTGCTTACTTCTATCTTTTAACTTGCCTTTTTAACTACTCATACTTGCAGGTATGGCATGTTTCATGCCAAAATATTTTGTGCAAGTACTGGGTGCATGCACCCTCAAAAAACCCCTGACCAGGAGGCACAGCTGTGCATAGAAAACTCGGTATTGAAAGGATTAAGCTTTGTTTTCAAGATGTATTGCATAAATGGGATATCTCTTTTATATTTGCAAGAGTTGCATGGTTTTTCTAGCCACATTCATGAAGGGCCAAAACATGTGTGATGTCTTTAAAACAGGAAGCAGTGGAGGAATCTAAGAAAATGGAACATGAGAAGGCAGAAATAAAGGAAGAGAAATTGGCAATAGGGCTTGCTGAGAAAAATGTGACTGCCGGGAGCCAGGGACTGTGGGACAGTGACAAGGTGGAATTATTAGGAGAACTGCGGGAAGTGAGCATCAACATGGATCAGCTGGAGAAATTTCTAGAAAATTCTGACTCTGACTCCCAGGACTTTATATTGGTTTGTTTCTTCTCTTGAATTTTAATTTAAAGAAAATTTTAAAAAAGCTTAAAATGAGGAAATTATCTTTTAAGTGGATATTTTCCTTTTGTAGACAATGGAGGGGCACCTTGGTGATCTGGAGTCACAGGTGGCCCTAATCTTGAGTCGAGGTGACACATTGATGTTGATGGTACATCAGACTGAACCCAATGAAGCAGTGCGCCTGCAGGAGATCTTAGATTCTACAAGGAAACGTTGGATGGCTCTCAAGCATCATGCTCTGGTATATGCATCCCTCCTTAATTCCTTGACCTCTGACATTTTGTCTGAATATATACTACTATATATAAATTAGCTGTTACTAGAACTTCTAGGGTAGTTGTAACTAGCATGGGTTGTAACTAGAAAGCCTAATAGAGCCTAACCAAGTAACATCTATCAAATAGGTATTTATTAGCCTAACTAGAATGGTTTTTTGCCTCCTAATAAAGGGAAACTTTAACCAATTCCTATTATCAGTCAAGGCCTCTATTGGAATGATAATTCCAATGCTGATTCCAAAATGCTGATTTCATCATCTTTTCCCATGTGTATTCTTCTTCCATGGCATTCTGAAGATTCAACTTGGGTCTTGGACTTATTCTCCCAGGACTAGTCTCCCAAATGAATTGGAAATAAAAGAAATTGTACCATTGGGAAGCTAAAATTTTTCAGTTAAATTAGGACAAAATCCAGTAAAACTTGTTCCAATATACTCGTTGAAATTACAGGAAAACTATATTCATGTCAAAAATTGACAGCTTAGGTTTCTTCACAGTATTTTCAATAAAATACACACCATAAAAGACACACAGGATGTAGAAACACAACTTGTACATGATGCTATAACAGTTTTAAATAGAAGCAAAAAATCAACTGGAGGATTTTATTTAAAAAAATACTTTAACATTTCAACACAAGGACGTATTCGTCATGAGTTACATAACCATCATAGGCAGGTTCATCACTGTGGGGTGTTTCACTGCCAAATGTGGCATGCAATTTCTGACCATATTTGCCCCTTTGAATTCCAGTCTTTCTCAGTTGATTTTCTACCTCTCTTTCTCCTAGGGTTGCCACCCATTCATAATTAGTATGGACAGTACATATTTCATATACAATGTCCATACTGCAAACTGGTCCTAATATGGACACTGTTTTGTCTATATTAAACTTAAGATTTTTTTTTCCAATGAAACTTTATAGTAGCTAATATCGTTATTTTCCATGAGTCAAAAGCATTAGGCCACACTCATAGTATCGATTGGTGCCTTGGTTTAAGGTGGCTGTGGGTATATTTTGAATATTTGTCCATATTTTGTTACATTCAAAGGTGGCAACCCTACTTTCTCCACAAGAGGGCATTCCTTCTTGACTGCCAACATCTCTGCCTCCAGCTTTTCTTGCTTCTTTTCAGTCTCCACCAGTGACAAAAGGACAAGATTATCTTCATCAAATGCTTGACTTATAGCTCCTTTGTTCTTCCTAGTGCCTATGACAGTTTTCTGTGACCTACTGAAGTCAAATCCAATGAAAGTATTGTGTCATTGATATCCTCTTTTATAAGCATCAAAATATCTTCACTTCCCAAGTCGGTGCTTCCTTCATCATTCCCCATTTGGTTTCAAAATCATATGATCTTATTGGGATGTCCTTGGCAGGTTCTTTTGATGGTGGTCTTCTTCTTTCTGAAGAGTCAAATCCTCCCAGAATGCCATGCATAGCTGATGGACTCAGGACCATTGCAACTTTGTCTTCTTAATCACTGATCCCACTGATTGTAGGACCACCATCACCTGTTTTTTCTGCTAATTTTTTTGCACAGCTGAATTTTTTTTCCCTTTGGATTTGACACTCAGCCACTTCTGCTTCACTTCATCTACAGTTTGCTCAGTAGGCGAAATGGAATTAAATTTCAGTGTAACAGATATTTCATCCCAGGACTGTTTTTTCTACTCACTTGTGGTGGCATTTGAGAATTTGGAAAACAGCACTTCTTTGTGTTTTCCCACTTCCTCAATCAAAATATGTAGCTCATCTTTGTGGAAATTCGCCTTCGTCCTCCCTCTATTGATGGTTCACACCTTCTTACATCATGAAAGTTGACACCACACTTTGGACAACTGAATATGAATGATGAAATGATGGAGACTGACTGAAATCAAGAGGGAGGGTGGAGAGGAAAGCTCAGGAAGTCAAGAGGTATCATTTATATAAAAGAAAAGAATACTCGTGAACTTAAAGTGGAGCCCTGGCTGATTCACCAAAACACGTTGCTATTTCCTCACTGTTAGGTTAGCAGCTGATCAACTGATTTATTTTAAATCTAGATTTTTTTACACCGAAAATTTTCTGTGAAGAAAATGGTTCGGTTCGGCTGTTCCCTTCTTAATTATCCTCCATTTCATTTCGCGGGTCCTGGTCATTTTTGACCATTTTGTTATGCTGTATATTCATCCCCAAATTATAAAGATGTTGTAAAATATACAATATATATTTGTGTCAAAAGTGCATGAGGGGCATATTCAGCTATCATATCTTGAATCTGGAGCTGAATTGAGGCATTTTTGTTGTAGTCTGTGAAGCGCTCAGTGGAAATAAAAGAGCTGTCATGGAAAGACTATCGACAACGTATCGAGGAGATGGTGAAGAAACTGGATGCCACACGTAATGGTTTTGCTGATGCCAATAATGATTTGGTCCGGCTTCAAGTGAGCTTAAATAATTCCTTCTTTTTGTTCTCCTTTGTCTCTATTGACAATATGTTGGTATGTACTTTTTATGAATTCCCATGGCAGACCTTGCAGAATGAAGTATGTGTCCAGGAGACAGAGATCCAAAACCTGGAGAAAGAGGGCGAGTCTTATCCATCTCATCGAGAACAGATTGTGAAGCTCCTTCGGGACCTCAACCTCCGCTGGGAGGAACTCCAGACCCTTTGTCGTCTATACATCAAGCCTGATGTTGAGAAGCTTGCCACACCTGAGAAGGCAGTCAGTCTCTGGTTTTCCTAGTAGAGCAATGAAGATTGATACTATTACTTTATCTGCATTCCTATGTTTTAGGAATAGTTTTGTTGGAAGACCTAACTGGAAATGTAATTTGTTGAAGATATTGCTGATGCTAATAGTTGTCACACAGGGTAAAACTCAATTTCTCTAGTTAACTACTCAATGTCATGCTAATATGGATTCAGTTAATTTTCAAATTAGGAATCATATAAATGATTCTAGCTTGGGCTATTGCACAATGGGAAGTCATAGACAAATGACCATGTCAGCATTGTGTTTTTCTCCAAAATGAAGGGAATAATTCAAATCCTTTCAAAATGTGTTCTGGCTCTTGATTGTTCATCAAGAGCATGAGAGATTAGGCAATTAAAATTGAGTATTTTCATCATCTCTAATGAAGCAGTGGGGGGTTTGGGGGGGTGGGGGGGTGGGACCAGCATTGGGCTTTACTCCACAAAGTTACTCTGCTCATCATCCTCAGGTGAAAAATAATGGGAAACAAATTTCTGAAATTTTTTAAAGTTTTAGTTTGCCTGCCTGTTGCTTTGATTTGCATGCTTGTGATTCCTGTTTTATTTTTAGTAGGCCCATTTTCATTTTACTCACAGTTTATTTGATTATGATTAATTCATGTATCAACAGTGAAGCGTATATTCTTCTGGTAAACTCCATGTTTCTTTCTTCTCACAGGAGTCTGTGAATTCGGTGGTGGTTGAGTACTTATTATTCCTCAAGGGTCTTCATGAAGGGATTGGCAGGGCTTGGCGCATCCTCCGGGATCCCCCTCTTGGAGAGAAGCTCTATGACTCGTTTCCTCTTCAGGAGGAAGCTCTTAAGGTCCTCCTCATTCCTTGGGAAGAGCTCTCATCATTGTTCATTCCCTTTACAGTGACTTATGAAGTGAACTATTTTCGATTTTGCAGGAAGCAAAGAAGATTATGGATAGCCTGAAACCTGGGATGGCCTCTGCTGAATTGCGTCGCATTGGCCTGGCCTCTGAATTGGCAGCAAAGCACCCAACTTCAACTAGCACTCAGGCAAACATGCAACGGGCATTAGATAGTCTCAAGGATGAATGGAGCAAGGTCAACCGAGCATACAATGACAGACACAGGTGACCTCATAACCTTTATTTTAAACGTCAAATGTGACATAAGTTGACATATCAGTTGTCTGCATAAGGCTCTCAGTGCATCATGGCTTATGAAATCCTAAGCCCATAGGGCATTCACATTGCCTGGGCTAAAGGTTAAGAATTTGTCTGAGGAAGTGGGGAAATATGTGATTTTGGATTGACTCAAATTTTTACTAAATAAAGCATATTTTTCCCACTTATTGAGAAAATCCTAGCATATTTACCCAATGACTTTAATAAGAGTGTGTGACCTCTCAGGGTCTAAGTTCAAGGTCATCAAGTGACAACCACCTTAACTTGAATCATTGCAATGCTTACCAAGATAATGTTCAAAGATTATACTTTTTTTTAATGTCAACCATATCCAATGCTCTATTACTTCTTGAAGTGTAAGAAACCAACTGTCATTTTTATTTTCCTGGAACTCCCATAAAATGAACAATAAAACAACAATATTGGATCTTTCTATTGTCCTATAGAAAGTATAGAAAGTATAGACTGTAAGCAAAAATGTCAAACTTTACATTGTAATTCTGATCAGCAATGGAATGTTCAACTTGTATGGTACAATGTCCATGGTAGCTACAAAGACAGAAAAAAACCACAGTAGTTGAAAGTGGGGTATGCTTAGGGTTTTTGAATGCCATTTGAGTAGTTGTGTTTTTCCACATATAATCTGATTATAGGGGCATGGTCCTACCTGCATTATGACTACCCAATACACTGGTACAATAGATTCAGGCATCTGTCTGCTGTTCAACTCAATTCATTTATTTTCAAGATCAAGTTATTTTTTTATTATGAGGAACATGGGGACATCCTTATGTTATAACTTTCCATGCCTATTTTCTTCTGTGTCCCATCTATTCATATTGTTTATTTCTTTTGTCTTCACATGAAGAAAGCATGGTTCATTCATTCATATTATTTCAACAACAATTAATTACTAAGGGTGTGTACAAAAACATGTATTATGATGTTTTAATGAAAAAATTCATTGTAATTGCTGCAGGAAATTGATGGATCTGTCCATGCCAAATGGCCTTAGCCTGAAATTTCACTAAATTTGGAGACATCATCTCTAATGGCATGAATGAATGAGAGCATGGTGTTTAAAAAGGAAATGGAAGTTGTTTTTATCATATAATGTTAGCACCACTCATGGTTTTAATGGATATGAAAGAATAGTAAATATGGGGAGAGACTGAATAGGACTACTGGAGTTGATGCCAACATTTGCTTTCCCATGCTAAGTGATGATCTCAAATCAGCTCAGGTTTGAAGAGATTCTCATTCTTCGCACTTGCATTAAGCTGGACATTAAAAGATAAATACAGAGTTTCATTTTAAAATAAATTTTCTGAACATGTCAGGTCTAACATAGTCTCAAAATAGCCTTGCTTTCTTTTCATAATACTGTAAGCATAGGGTGACCCTCTAATTTCAGGCTTTCATTCTATATAGAGAAAGAACATACTAAATTGATGGGTTTCCATGTATCACAAAAATGTGACCACTAAAGCAAGGGATCTTAGGTTCCATGAAGTGTCACATCCAACACTTTTCTTTGCACTAAGATAAACTTCTAGCAAAAGTGAGTATGCAAAACTTTAACTAATGAATTTTCAGTCACTGCCAAGGGCTAAATCTTGCAGCCTTAATATGTTGATTCTTCATTTGTAACATTAGTAAATACATTTTGTACATTGCTCCAGATCCAACACTATGGACAAGCCCTGGTGATTAAATTCCTATTCATGTCTAATGCTTAGATCCACCTTTCCTTCTCAGTCAGACAAGTTAGATTGACATTTCCCACTTCTCACTTCTCAGTCACCTCATTAATAAAGAGCCTTCTAGATCCAACAATCACAGGGTTCAGAGACTCCACTGTAAAATATTTGGTTGCTGTTAGCCGGTGGTTAGAGGCACGTGAGGTGTGGCTGGGATTTCAAGGACATGCAGCTGAGATGGAAGGCTGGCTCTTAGGAGTCCCATCAGCACTCCTCAAGGCCAAAAGTGATGATCTCCCTATAGCACAGGCTGCCCAAAGGGAACTTGAAAGACATGTCACATCAAAGCATAGGTACAGATTCATGTTGATATTTCTTTGTCAGTTTTGTTTTCCTGTCAAGTGCCATCTCAGCACTTTGTCATGCTTGACAGGACGGTAACACTGTTGAGCCAGAGTGGACAGACAATTCTTCGTCAGACATCCAGGCAGGAGAATGCTGACCTGAGGAGTCGCCTGGATGACATCATGAATCGATGGCGCTCTGCCTTAGCTGATTTGGCTGCTAACCGAGATCGGTCTGTTGTGTATTTGTCTTTGGATTGCTTGAGTATAGGCTTTTGTTGCATATACACAGTGTTAAAGAAAAAAGTATTCCCTAAATTCAGCAAAATAGGAAGCAGCAATCAATGGAAAGTTACACCATTAGAAAAGCAATTGAATTCTCTGCATGTGTGTGAAATGACATGTCATGCACACAGATTGCAAACAAAATGCAAACAAAACTGCAAAAAAAAGTTGCACACAAGCCAACATCTGTTACGTGCATGTGGCCAATCAGGGAGTTTGCATGCACCTGTACTGGAGGGAGTGATGGCATGTCTGCTTCAATGGATGGATTGTGTCTATTTTTTGTCTGTGTCACATCCCAATGCTAACCAGTGAAATTTCTTTCATCAATTTTGTTTGATGTACTTTGTGAGGTGAACTCACAACAATGTGAATGAGCCTTTCATGCAGTTCTGAAACAACTCTCAGTAGCATATCCACGCTTAGCTACACACTGGATGTCTTCCAGACAGCAGGCAATTTCATTATCATTTTTAAATGACTGCCACAGGGTGAATTTTTGTAGGATCCACAACAAATTTGATTGGTTATACCAAAATTCAATTCTCTTTTCAATGGTAAATAAGGTTCAGCTGCAACATTGGTATGCTGCTTTCTATTTCACTAATTTGCTGTATTACTTTTTATTTATTAACATCATGTAAGTCAGTTAATAATAATAATAATAGTGGTTTATTCATGATTCTGGAAAAATTGTGCATCAGCAAATTTAATTCCATCGTCAGGCATAGAATGTTACTTGGATCTGGGGCTGGAGTGTCTGGGTGAAAGTTCCCAATAACTCTTCAAAATATGCTCTCATTCACAAAGCTGCTTTATTGGAATTCATTTCCAGTTGCTGTAGACCTCATGTTAATAATCATTTGTGAAACTTTAGCAATGTAATTTATTTCTTTAACAAGGTAGGGTGGTCAAATGGTCTTATTTTCATGCTCATGCTTTATTGTTCCCAGAGTGACTCAATTGGAGGATAGCCTCATGCATGAGAAAGAGTCAACCCGAAAAACTGTGGCAGCTATTGGAGCATGGCTGGCACACACTAATGCCCTCCTTGCATCCTCTAAAGATGTAGCTGACCATCGCAATGGACAGGAGACTCTCAGAAAGCTCCAGGTATCCCATTAGCCTTTGTTTCCTGCTCTGTTTGAGATGGATTTTTATGAAGGTGCTCATCGTATCCAGATGAGGGAGAAAGAACTACCAGAGATGCGAGCCAAGCTGAGCTTAATTAAGAAGACAGTTGATCCAAAGGAGTTTGTTGAATTTGAATTACGACTAGAAAAGGTATGGTTGATATGCTTCCAAGCTGTTGTGTTGTCATCAGGTTATTTATTGTACATTCCTAATTCTTATTTGTTTATCTTGTTCCTGATATCAGCCATTAAAATATTTACCAAAATATTGTGTCTATCATACAGTTGTTGATGTTCAAGATGTGTCACTGTTGACTTATAGAACTGTGGTCCTGTCCATATAGCCTTCTGTGTGTAACCTCATACTAAAAAGTTTTATAGGCAAGTAGTGGAAGTTTTTTCATTTTGCAGGTGAAAGATTCATTAAAGATGGAAGTGGAGAGGTTGAAGGTGTGTGTAGTGCGGTTGGAGAAATTGGCCACCCTGATGGTGCGACTGAGGCAGTGGCTGGACTGGGTGACCCAGCGCCTTCCCCGAGCATCCCATGACATTGTCAAGGTCTGCATGCATTCCCTCTACCTTTTGCCCTTACTCTTTTCTCATCTTGTTGGCATAACCTCAGTCAGAATTGAGGAGCACTGATGGAGGTGCAGAAATTCGCGATCATTGAAAACAAAGCATTGCCTTGGATAAGTGTGTAATTTGATAGTATTCCTTTCCCAAGAAAAAACTCCCCACTCCTAGCACATTCATGAGCTGCTGTATTCCTTTCTCTGCTATTGATTGCCCCTTGTGGGGACTTTGCCTTGCAGTGATGATATATATTGCATTTCATCAAGAAGCAGTACTTATCTAGCTTACTAATAATACCAAAGTTGCTTTTAGGAGAATGTTCAAATATAACATCTGCAGCATTGGGCATTAGAAGGTGGGGGGGGGGGGGTCAGGTAGTGATGACGATTGAAGCTGACAGGAAATAAGGGTTGATGATGGGGACAGATTGAATTTTAAGTCACTACTGCTGACTTGTTCATTGGCCTGTCACGTTTGACAACCCTTCTGACATAAGCCTATTGCTCTATATGTCATCATAGGTTGTGTCACTTTCCTTCTTAGCATGGCAGCATAGTTTTCATGATTGATTACTCAAGCTCAAACATTATGCTCATGTTATGATTGCATTTTTTTCCCTGATGCATTATTAGTAATATTATTATTAATAGTAAGTAAATTTTTCTGCTTACGTACTGTCCATGAATATTGAAGCATTCCTCGAACCGCACAGAATGTTGCAAAAAGGCAAATTTTCACATTTTAATATTCACAAATACTATACTATTAATTTACAGGAATTTATTTCTATACATTTCGAAGCATAGGCGACAGGACGCTTCAAAAATGTGTGGTATCTTGTGAATATGCTTTTCTGTGAATCACTCTTTTATATTTAAAAATTCATCGTCCTCTTAATTCTCGTGTGTGTGAGTTGCACAAGTGATTTTGCGAAGGACGGAGTGACTGTCGTCAATCAATCAGTACCATGTAATTTTTAACCGATCGTAGGATGATATTGCTCCCACGTCCCCTGTGCTCATCGGACCTCCTGCCTTGTGACTTGACGCTGTTTCTCAAAATGAAATTCCTTCTGATAGGCCGCCACTTTGACGACACCGACGTTCTCTAGTCAACTACGACAACGCATTGAAGGAGGTTGTCAAGAATGGGTTGCAGTCAGTGTTCCAAGCTTTTTATAAACGTTGGGAGAAGTGTATCGCAAATCAAGGTAACTATTTCGAAGGGGATCATACTGAAACCTAGCTCCTGTACATAATTTGCTCGTATGAAGGCCGGTTCTGGAACTTTTTGATAGGCCCATGCACATAGCTTCTTCTAGCATTTGTTTCATATGCAGATCCAAGAATTTTCATTTTCAAATTTTGCCAGCAGTTTGGTACTTCTGGACCACTGTCGACTGGTGTGAAGGACTGGGCGATTTTTCTTCCATCACTCATTTCAACTTTCTTTGGACGGTTCACTATATGGACCTTTAAAAGCAAACTGTCTAATTGCTGGTGCCAGCTTCAGCAATTATTTCCTGAAAGTTCTTGCAATAACTAAGGAAGTGGTGTTTCCGTCTCCTCTGGGAAATCTTGTGGGAATGGCGTTCCCACTTGCTTTCTTCACTGATTTTGACTAGGACTGTCACGATAGATCGATGCATCGATACCATTATCGTTAGTTGGAGATATCGATAGTTTTTTCGACCATCGCGATGCATCGGCAATATATTTTAAAGGGGAAATGTCCCATTGGATTGAGGCGAGTACAGTACAATACAGTCCGTCCCGGCGGGGAAAGGAAGAAGCGGCGTGACCCGCATGGGCTTGCAATTTCTTATCACAATCAAATTCTGGAAATGCTGGGACTGACTATAATGAAAGACGGGAAGGGAAAATAAGAAAGGTTCGGAGACAGGAAGTGGGAAAGGAGAGGGGGGAAGACCGAGAATATATTTTTCTCTTCTGTTTCTGTCTTCGGCTCGATCTCATCAGGTGCATGCTGCGGAAGTGGACTGTTCACAATCAAATTCCGGAAATGCTGGGACTGACTATAAGAAAGACGGGAAGGGAAAAAAAAGTCGGATCGGAGACAGGAAGAGGGAAAGGAGAGGGGGGGAAGACCGAGAATATTTTTTTCTCTTCTGTTTCTGTCTTCGGCTCGATCTCATTAGGTGCATGCTCCGGAAGTGGACTGTTCTTATACTCCCTTGATTTCGAAACCAACATTGGTTAATCCCCGCTCTATATTCCTGTCTATCACTTTAGAATGCAGGCTTAACTTTCTTAATTTTCAACTTGCCCTGGGGCATTTATCTCTACTTAAGGTGAACTCAAAGTGAATATAAACATGGACGTTGCTTATTCTAGGGCTGTACCGATGTTTCGGCAACCGCCAGAATGGCACCATCAGCAGGTTTCCTATCTGGCAGTGCCGATGTCAAGTCATTGTACTCGTAGAAAGAAGAAAAAAAGAAAAAAAAATTGCGTGAACGGGGCTTGGCAGCTGATTCTCAACGGCAATAGGAAAAAATTAAGGCTGTCCCGATGAATGGATGTCATCTTCGATAGTTGGAGGCATGGTAAGTTTCATTATTCTTTGTGGAGGTCACACATTCTCCCTGCACCCCCAATCACAAGCCTGAGATAGTAGAAGCCGGATAGAAGTCCACGCTCCGATCGCAGCGAGAAAAGATGGAATCCCCCCCCCCCCCCGATGCATCGATGTTTTGAAAACTGCTATCGTGACGACCCTAGTCACAAATGACCCAACTTTATGGTGTGGCCGAGACCGCCGAATGGGATCGCGTGTTCGCCGTGTACGTACGCGGGCGCTATTATATACGGACTGACTCCAATTAGATAAGTACCGGTGAGATTCGGAAGGACTAGGATGTTCAGCAACAATAACAATGGATATATTGAATGTATGCAACTCAATCGTACAGTCTACAGGCACCAGGCAGGAGGGAAGTTGATAAGTCGAGGACGACAGGAATAATTACAGGTCACCATACAATCCAGACATACAATACGCACACCGTTATACACGTACAAAGTCACACGATCACACCCACTGAGTCTCTCGTCCACCATTTAGTCTCTCCTCCACCTCCATGTCCCGGTCCGGGGGAGGTCTCTTGGAGGTGGGAGGTGTCCGGTAGGGGGTGGCTCCTCCTCCACTCCTTGGTGAGGTCCGCCGCGAAGCCCACGTGGTATAAAAGCCGTCTTCAATTCAGTCGTCGCTTGCACGGCTCAGGCTGTGGAGCTAAGAGCTTTCTCTCTAAGCTTTTGAGCCTGCCAGAGTCTGCGCTGGACTCCTCCTCCAGAGCTCGGTTGATCCGATTCCATTCGTGGATCCATCCAGAAAGGAAGTGCAAAGACTCAGAAGGCGCTGCTCCATTTGCGAGTAAACAGCCGCCAATCTGTCCGCGGGTCCCGACCGAGCTCTGCTGGCTTCGACGCGCGTACCAAATGCTCGGCTTGAATTCCACTCGAACCTCGAGCCAGGACGTACTGCAACGGTGCAGGATCTACGACTCCGTACGACTCCATCAGGACCCGGTTGACCCGTTCAACTCGATTCAAAGGCTCAGAAGGCGCTGTTCCCTTTACGAGTAAACAGCAGCCATCCTGTCTGCGGGTTCCGTAGCACCCTGTAGGTGTCGCCCTTCGAGCCGTCGGTTTAATCTCAGACTCAAACCTCGAGCGGAAGTGCTACCAGGGAGTAGCAACGGCGATCCCTTTCCTTACGGATAGGAAGGCCTCTGGGCCTAGGTGTCTGCAGACCTCAGGATTTCTGTGGTTGATCGACTCCTCATTTGAGGCAGGCACCTATGTGATAGGAACTCGATTCAACCTGAGATTTCGTTACAGCGACGGAACGAGGACGGGACTCTGGGTTCCCCCGAGACCCAGAGATGAGGAGGAATTGGAGGAAGACAGCGAGGCGTCGACTAGATTTTTCATCTTTGGAAGATTTGTACCTCTCCGACAGCCCGTGAATTAGCAAACCTGTATTTATTCGTAGTCACTGAATGAACCAGGCCCATATATCCACCAGACTGCAATCGTGTTCTGTTACGTACCTGTCAAATCTTTTCTTGATAGCAGTATTGATAAGGTGATTTAAGTACAGTATCAGTACGGCAATCAGCCGTATGCGGGCGATTTCCCGAGTAAGCATGCGAAAACGCAACAATATCATTGAGGATGTGGGAAATCTCCGTATGAATGAATATTGTTCGCAGGATGCTCAATTCTGACAAAACTGAAACCGGTAATGTGAGCCAGAGATAGTCTGATGGCTAGCAGCTTTCAGATCTATGCTATTTACATGGTGACGAGGAGAAAGGTTCTTGTTCAATTATTTGCTCAGCCATTCCGTAAACGGAATAACTAAACCAGACCTCTATCTATGTTGCAGCTGTAGGTCATGCCTGGAACTCGCAATAAAAGTTCCTTTTCATATTACAAGATTTTATATATTGTCAAGCAACTGAAACTAATATCGTTGAATTCCATAAGTTCCATAAAATCGTGCTCTAATCAGTTAGTTCCACCTGAGCAATATTTCTTTATTACAAGCTTCAAAATGGTTTCTGAATGTTCATTTGACATGAGTGCATTGGTTTCAGTAGCAACGACACTTTTTAGCAGGGCACTCCGGTCTGCAAAGGTCTTCATCAGTCCTGCGAACGACGCCAGGTTCCAGATTGCAAGACTGGGCATAGCGAAGACAGTTCTGACTGCAGTACACATCTGCATCTTCCTCATTCGCAAACTCTCCTACAGCCACACACTCCCGTCTTTTGCAAAACAAAAAGAGAGCATGTTGATGATTTATCGTAAAATGAATCTGGAGTGATCTGAAAACGGACTCACGGGCAATGACACACATTCGAAGGGCAATTCTTCGGCTCCAGTCGAAGGCAGTTCATGCGACACCAATCGTACATCCCCTGAGTGCCTGAAAACGTCGCTGTGGGAAAGCAGATCTGCTCCCTGCAATTCCCCAGGTTGATGTGTCTCACTTTTGGAAAATTCTTTCTCCATTAAATTTTTTAACTCCTTACGGTTTTCTTAATTATAAGACACGGTGGTGCTGTACGGTAAAAATCAGTACAAAAAGTACCTTTTCCGTTCGAACTCCACTCCCGCAATTCACTTTCACCCTCACACAGAAACTTCACCTCTGCTTTCTCAGACTTTTTTCTTCCAGATTCTTCTCAATTTCAATAGATTGAATCCACTGTCATGAGAAGTTTGCCTTGATGTATCCAACTAATATATCTAAGTGAATTTCACATATTAAAATCGAGAAGTGACAAGAAAAATTACCCGGAAAGCAATGAACAACAGAGGATTCGTTAGTATCGTCTCATTCACGGCTGCTTTTTTTAGCATGCAGTGCTTTCGAATGAGACATGTTCTACACGATGGCATTGTGCGTGGAAATTCGTCGTTTACGGACACTTATGCTAGAATAATAACAATAGGTTACAAATGGATACGTGAGACATTGCCATCCCAGCTATGAGTGATCGACTAATGTGTCCAAGCAATATGGCGACAATTTGAACAGGAAAGAACCGAAGAAGAAAAACTTTGAGAGCTGAAAGGTTTGCAGGATCCTCGATAAGGAACGGTCCTGGTATAACATTCAGGACAACAACGTCATTTTTTGTTTCTCCCAATGAGCAACGTAAGTATCTGGAAGATGGTATAGTATAAGGCCAAGTAGTTGATGGTTGTACCAACATCTGCTGTAAACTGCTGGCTGCTTTCACAGTTTCAGCCTTATATGCAAGAACCACCGCAAACGCACCCTTTATCGTTCAGAGAGAGCTCATGCTAATAATGTGGTAATATGATTGGTCGGTCTTGAAGTCCTTGCCCAGCCTCGTTAATTGCGTAAGTGTCGAGCAGAGGATTGTATCCTTCATCTACTGGCTGCATCTTGAAAATACATGGTATCAAGGAGCAGCACTAAACGACAATAATGATTTTAAGGCCGACCTGCCGTAAAATCCGTCCTTACTTAATACTCGCCTCTAC